ACAAATGTTAGCACATCATTTAGCTGGCTTATAAAGCAAATCAGAGAAAAAGATGTCACATTGGACAAAACAATAGTCTATTGTAAGTCTATCAAGGATTGTGGCCGCCTCTTTATGTATTTTAAAGAAGAATTAGGAGTGGATGCATATGCACCCAATTGTGAAATGCTTTCTGAAAACTTGCTATTTGCAATGTATCATCATTCTACGCTTACCAGAATCCAGGAAAGAACATTAGATTCCTTTCATGATAAGAATGGCAAGTGTAGGCTTATTTTTGCCACTAATGCTCTTGGAATGGGAGTAAATTTCCAAGACATAAGATTCATTGTTCACTATGGTCCACCGCGAGAAATGGAGGAACTTGTCCAACAGATTGGCCGTGCAGGAAGGGATGGGAAGCCTGCCCATGCGTTGATTATGTACAATGGTCGTCATCTTAAGAATTGTGACCAGTCGGTAAAAGATATGTGCAAAGCAACTTCAGGCTGTCTAAGGAAGCGAATGTTGGCTGATTTTGGAGTGGAAGACCTACAAAGTCAGGAGAAGCACAATTGCTGCATAAACTGTCATAAAGAATGTTTGTGCAGTGATGATAAATGCCCAATTCCCTTCCCTGAAATCTCCAGAACAAAAACTACAATTAAAGAAAACCTTAACACAAGAAAGATTACACTTGAACAGAAACAACTACTGGAAGAATTGCTAAGGGACAACATATCAGTCATGTCATCTGGACTTCTCAATTTTCTTGGTGTGGATGGCACTGCCCTATTTTCTGAAAGTTTGATAAAGAAAGTTTTAAAACATGCCAAGTTCGTTTTCACAACAGATTATATACTTGAGAATCTGCCAGTATTTAAGAGTGAGCATGCTATGGACATATTATGCATGTTTAATGATGTGTTTGAAGATGTCGATGAAGGAGAACTTGACGCAAACCAGTGTTCTTCATTTGATGAAGACTATATTTATAATGTAGAAATGTACATTTGTGATGAATTTCTAGAGGAATCCAGTGATAGTGACTGTACAATTTCTGATACTGATGATGAGTTGGTCTGATATCATCTGGACATAATGAAAGGTTTTCCTAAAGAACATGACTGTGTAAGTAAAAATTATTACAAAAAACTTTGTCACTTTTCAAAGTACGACTTTTCCTTATATCTATGATTTTCTAGTGTTTTATTCAATGAATTATTACAGAATTTGATACTGAATGATTTGAAGGAGTAGACCTCATGTGTAATCTTAATCTTAATGTGCCTTTAAATAAATTACATTCCTGTTGACTTCAATTACAGTTGACTTCAATTGAATTCCTTGATTGTTTTTAAATAAAATCCCTCTGTTTGTTTGAACATAAAAAAGCCATTTATAGAACATTTTGTTTTTTTAATTTGTCTACAAAATATACAAATAGCTATTTTCAATGAGTAGAAACATTTACAGCCAAACCTACTGAAGCGTTCCTATCGAGGTTGGAAGGCTCGATTTATTATTCCAAATTTGGTTTCAAATTTATATTTAAACGTGCAAAAACAAAACCGACAATGTAAATTTCAAATCTGACGTCGATTTGAACCTCGATTCCTGATTGGATTATTCCAAAAATAAACAGTACGTTGCATATTTCGAAAAAAAATGGCGGCGGTGAATAGTCTTCAGTGGCCGTACACCCCAGGAAAACCTTTATCGATTGCTGAAAGACAACACATTATACAATTATTTAACGGCGGACTCACAAAAACGGAAGTTTCTGAACGGCTTCGCGTAACTTTTCGGTGCGTAACAAACGTCATAGAACATTATCGTCGGTATGGCTCTGTCAATCCGTTAGGACATAGCGGTAAGCAGCCTGTTGCTTTGACATATGATATTCTGGAGGACATAGAGGTTTGGAAGCATCAGAAACCATCCTTGTATCGTCGACATCGTGAAACAACTTTTGGAATGCACTGCCGCGAACGAGTGAACGTCATTCCCGCGCTTTACCCAACATGAACTTCGTTTTATTATTGGAATAATCCAATCAGGAATCGAGGTTCAAATCGACATCAGATTTGAAATTTACATTGTCGGTTTTGTTTTTGCACATTTAAATATAAATTTGGAACCAAATTTGGAATAATAAATCGAGCCTTCCAACCTCGATAGGAACGCTTCAGTAGGTTTGGCTGTAAATGTTTCTACTCATTGAAAATAGCTATTTGTATATTTTGTAGACAAATTAAAAAAACAAAATGTTCTATAAATGGCTTTTTTATGTTCAAACAAACAGAGGGATTTTATTTAAAAACAATCAAGGAATTCAATTGAAGTCAACTGTAATTGAAGTCAACAGGAATGTAATTTATTTAAAGGCACATTAAGATTAAGATTACACATGAGGTCT